TCGGAGTGTGAGTATCTCTGAGTGTCTCTGTGTGTGAGTGTCTCTGTGTGTGAGAGTCTCTGTGTGTGAGTGTATCTGTGTGTGAGTGTCTGTGTGTGTGTCTCTGTGTGTGTGTGTCTCTGTGTGTGTCTCTGTGTGTGTGTGACTCTGAGTGTGTGTGTGTCTCTGTGTGTGAGTGTCTCTGTGTGTGTGTGTCTCTGTGTGTGTGTGTCTCTGTGTGTGTGTCTCTGTGTGTGTGTCTCTGTGTGTGAGTGTCTCTGTGTGTGAGAGTCTCTGTGTGTGAGTGTATCTGTGTGTGAGTGTCTGTGTGTGAGTGTCTCTGTGTGTGTGTGTCTCTGTGTGTGTCTCTCTGTGTGTGAGTGTCTCTGTGTGTGTCTCTGTGTATATGTGAGTGTCTGTGTGTGAGTGTCTTTGTGTGTGAGGCTCTGTGTGAGTGTCTCTGTGTATATGTGAGTGTCTCTGTGTGTGTGTGTCTCTGTGTGTGAGTGTCTCTGTGTGTGTGTCTCTGTGTGTGAGTGTCTCTGTGAGTGTCTCTGAGTGTGTGTGTCTCTGTGTGTGAGTGTCTCTGTGTGTGAGTGTCTCTGTGTGTGAGTGTCTCTGTGTGTGAGTGTCTCTGTGTGTGAGTGTCTCTGTGTGAGTGTCTGTGTGTGAGTGTCTCTGTGAGTGTCTCTGAGTGCGAGGTGCGTGTCTCTATGACCTCCTGTTACAGGTGCTGGCTAAAGTGGCCCCTCGGTATAAAGTCATTGTCCGAGTTGGTCATGATGCTGGCACCTGGTCTGGAGTGATTGGAAGGCATGGGCCAGATCAGCTCAATAACAACGGAAGAAGGCCGCTAGATTTTTTTTACAGCCCATGGGCTTGTAATTACCAACACGCTGTTCCGGCATCGGCACATCCACACAACATCATGGATGCATGCCGGGTTCAAGCAAGAACATCTGCTGGACTATGTAGTGACGGACCAGCGGATGCGAGCCCATTTCCTTGACACCAGGACCGACCGTGGAGCTGATCTGCCCTCTGACAATCGACTTGTCATCTGCAAGATACGCCAGCCATTCTTCCACTCCGGTGGTGGGTGTACACTCAGGATCCCATTCCAACCTAAGGTGGCCTGGTCTCAGCTAGCTGATGGAAGTTGCAAGCGAGAATTTCATCATCGCTTGCAGCTGGGCTTGGCATCGTCCCCCACTCCTCCTGATGTTGAGGGTAATGGGCGAGGTTTAGGACTGTGACTCATGCAGCTGCATTGGCTGCTTTGGGTACACGGTCCAGACCTCCCCAGAGACCCTGGCTGACAGAGGAGGTGTTCAAACTGGCTGAGACAAAGCGACAGGCCCACTCTCATCGGCTACAGCATCCCACGTCAGAGAATGAGAAGGCTTACCGCAGCCTTCGCTCGGAGGTTCAGAGAGCCGTGAGGCGCTGCAAGGATGGGTGGTGGTCGCGGGTTGCTGAGGAGATGGAGTCTGCCTCAGTGGCCCGCGATCACAACTCCCTATTTAACTCCATCAAAAAGTAACCTGCAGCGCCACACATATTACCATCATGAGGGGAAAAAACGGTGATCCAATCTCCAACCCCCAGGAACAGGTTTGCAGATTTGCTGAGCATATCTGTGAGGTCCTGGGGGAGGGCAAATCCCTCAGCCAGGAAAACATCGTGGCACAAAATGGGGATGACCCTGCTGAGGCTGCAGTGCCTCAAAGATTGGAGGAAGAAGTCACCCCCTGTGAGTGGCTGGCTGAAGTGCCATCTGTTGAGGAAGTACTGAAGGTGATCCAGAGTCTGAGACTAGGAAAGGCACCGGGCAGAGATGATCTCCCAAGCGAAATGATGAGGGAGGGTGGCGTTTGTGCACAGACTGCCCTACCTGACATCATAACAACAGTCTGGACCACTGAACGGTTTCCGCAGTACTGGAAGGATGCACTGGTGGTCCCCCTCTTTAAGAACGGGGACCGCACAGATTGTAACAACTACAGGGGCATCTCACTCCTCAGTGTGCCGGGTAAGGTCCTGGCAAGGATTATTCAACATCGCCTTGATAAGCACGCTGAGGAGAGACTTGCGGAGCCCCAATGCGGTTTCAGGAAATGGCGGTCCTGCACGGATGCCATATTTTCTGTCCATCTGCTACAGCAGAGGTGTAGGGAATTCGAGCAAGACCTACATCTCTGCTTTATTGACCTGGTGAAGGCCTATGATACCATCAGTAGACCTGGGCTCTGGGTTGTTCTTCGTGCTTTCGGAGTCCCTGGCCCTCTGCTCACAATCATTAAGGACCTTCATGATGGTGAGCGGGCTCGGGTAAAATTACATGGCCGGGAGTCAGAGCCATTCCCTGTACACCTTGGGGTGCGACAGGGATGTCCTCTGGCTCCCACATTATTTAACATCTATTTTGACCACGTAGTTCGTGAAGCCTTCAATAGCTGTAACGGGGGATTTCTATTTGGTACAGATATAATGGGAGGCTGATCGATGCCCGGGTGTGGTCAAGGGATGGCTCCCTATTGGTCAACCATATTATGTATGTCGATGATTTGGTAATTGCTGCTCATTCAGAGGAGGAGTTGGAGACGCTGCTGCTGAAACTGGAGCGTGCCACTAAGAGGTGGGGCCTTACCATCAGCCCCACCAAAACTAAGCACCTGCCTGGGTATTTTGTACCATCGGACACTCCACCCCCACAGCTCCCAATCGGTGATGGAGCAGTTGTGGAGAGAGTGGATAGTTTCCCATACCTGGACAGTGTGCTCATGACCGGCTCCGGTTTAACAGCAGAGGTCTCACTCCGAATCAGTCGAGCGGCAATATCTTTTCATCGTTTGCATAAGGCTGTGTGGAAGCTACCTGGTCTGTCGCTCCGCACGACGCTTCAGGTCTTCTCGGCCACGGTCATTCCCTCCCTTCTCTACGTTTGTGAAACGTAGACCCCCCTAATGGTGCATCTTCGCCGGTTGGAAACATTTAGGCTGGTCTGCCTACGATCCATCCTGGGTTTAACCAGGCTGGATTGTGTGAGGAGCTCACAAATCCTTGAAAGATCTGGGCAAAGTCCCATCGGTGAGCTCCTCCGGCAGGCAAGGCTGCGTTGGCTGGGTCGTGTAGCCCGCATGCCCAGCCACCGCATGCCTAAACAGCTTTTGTTCGGCCGGATAGAGGGGGCTAAACGGGCGCGGCACGGACTAGAGAAGAGATGAGGTGATGTGGTACAGGAGGACGTGGAGCTGAGTGGACTTGCCGATGACTGAGTGTGAGTCCGCGTGTCTCTGAGTGTGAGGCGCGTGTCCCAGCCACTTTCGCTGTCGTTATCCACTGAGCAGCGTTAGGTCTTTCGTGACAATTACTTCTTGAAAACGAGAATGTTAGCCACCCTGCCAGAAAGCCGCTCCACACACAGAACAAACTCTACCCGTATTTTGCAAGCGTCGTTAACGATGAATATTTGTTTATAAAACAAAATACAAAAAAAATTACAACTCATGAAGGTTTTGTTTTTTCTATCTGATATCTGATATTTTCAAGGATTTCCGGTGGGTTCTGTGCTTGTGTGGCTGTTTCATGATTGATGGACTCCCCCTCTTCGGAGACGTTTGTACACCATGCAACGTAACTCACCCCGCACGCTTCTCGACGACGTTGTATTTAAATGTCTATCGTTGGCTGTATCGCGACAGGTTAGAATACAAAATAAATCGTGTGACAGCGTTGGCGTCTGTGGCTCCACGCGCCGCTCTCCCCCGCCGCTCGCAAGCAACCGGAAGGTGACGGGGTCGGGGGCCTTCTTTGTCTGACCTCGAAATCGACATCATCACCTTGGGGGGGTGTTTCATTCCTTTGTCACTTCACCGCATGATGAAGGACTTCTATGTCGGGGGGGGGGTGGGGGAAGGTTTGACCATACTTCACCACGCCGGTCAGCACGGGTGGGCCCACGATGGGTTTGGATGTCGCTCGCTGCGACGTTGGCCGCGTCTGTCGCTCCGTCGTCGCAGCCCGGGGCTTCGTGCGCTCCGCAAAAATCGCGAGCGGCCCTCGTGGCTCATGAACCCGGCCAAACGCGTCGTGAGAAGCGGTGGCGGCGGTCCCATATGGACCCTGCTAGGGCAGCACCAATTGATGTTTTCGCCACTGAGATTTGCCGGCGAACCGTTGTTCAACTTTGTCGCAGCAGTTCTGATCGACCGCGCGCGCGCAGCGGGAACGGTGGCAGCACCCCCCCCCTCGCTACCTCCACGCGGCCCACGCTGAGCGCGCGTGCCGCCGGGCCTGGCACCACGTGGTCGCACATCGACTCCGATTTAAAAACGAGGGTGGCGGTAGTGGCGGCGGCGTGGTTGAGCCGGACGCGGAACGCTCGCAACGCTCCCGTCGGCCCCTACCCCACAGCCCCCGACGCTCTGAGCTCGTTCCTCTGTTTGCGACCAACGTTTCCCTGACCGCGCCGTGTGCCCTCCTCGTGCTGCTTGGCGTATGAGTGAATGAATGGCTCTTTCAGGAGAGAGAGAGGGGGGTTGTGTGTGTGGGGGGGCGGGGTGGGTGTGGTGGCGGCTTTGAAGTGTGAGCTTGATAATCCGTCTGTCGTCGCGGCTCGGGGAGGGAGGCTTGAGGGCCGGGGGGGGGGGGGCCGGGGGTGAGGGCCGGGGGGGGGGGAAGGGGCCGAGGGGTGAAGGCCATCCTCGCCCACTGCCCGGATTATCGTAGTAGCACACAAGTGTAGTAGCTACTACACACAAGTGTAGTAGCTACTACACGTGTCGTAGCTCCTACACGTGTAGGAGCTACTACACGTGTAGCAGCTACTTCCAAGGGCCCCACGCTAAATGCTTTCAAGCTATCAATTCCGGTTCAGTGATTCTGCACTTGCTCTATTACTATAGCACTATACCACCTTCAACTTTTATGAACGACTGGGTGTTTAAGGTTAGCGATTTGTCGTATTATCTGCTTGTATAGCAAGTGAAAAAATACAATTAATTTACTATGCAAGTTAAACATTTATGTTTTTAATATTTCAGTGTCCCTCTATAACATAAGCTACAGGCCCCGCACTAGCTTAATCCGGTACCGCACATAGCCAAGGAGGGATGCAGGAGGCCGGGGTCAGGGAGAAGGAGGCCAGGGACAGGCCACATGACGATTGTACCCCCCCCCCTCGTCCCGTCAGAGCGACTCTCTCGATGTCTCCTGGGAGACCGCTCTCCCGTCGAAGGGAGGAGACACCTGGGCCTGCAATGGTCCTAGGCACGGCGACGCCAGGATATTGCAACCGTAAAGCATACAGTAAATTGGTACAGTGTAGTTGCAGCCATAATTTGAAACACACTCGCTGTCATCAAGAACGCACGGGCACAGCTCCCTCGCTGCTCGCGCCAGGAGCGAGCGGCCGATGCTCGCTCGGAACTCAACCCCCCCCCCCCACCTCAGCCGGTTCTAAGTTCCACCATCACCTCCATCACTACCATCACCACTGTCATTATCACCACCGCTATCATCACCACCGCCATCATCACCATCACCACCGCCATCACCATCATCACCACCGCCATCACCACCGCGTGGTTTCAGGGCTCCCCCTGGCCACCGATTTTTGGGCGCCACTCCGATGGTGGCCTCGGTGAGTCGTCCTCCATCTCCTCCCTGCACGGGAGTCCCACTCATCATCATCATCCTAATCTCCTCTCCCCAATGCTTTCCTGCCACGAGCTATCCCCATCCCACCGTTACGATCCTTGCATTTTCCACACGAACCTCTTTCCCCTCCCCGCGTCAACCCCCACTGTGCAATCTTCACCGCCGTACGAGTTGCGTTCTTCAAGTGCAGCTCTCTGGCTGTTTCTGTAACGCGGACTTCACGACCCTGCTACTAACGTCAAGGAACCCTACAAGACACCGCACGACCAATCCCATCGAGCTGTGTCACACGCGCACGTCCTAGGACCGTGCCGCCCGCTACAACGGCCGAGGGGGCGTGGAAGGAGGAGACGTTACTGCTCTGTGTTCGGCGCGTGCACAAGATCGGTGCCAATGTCAGAGGTCTGCTGCCGGCCACGGCGAGAGGACATCATGAGAGAGAGTTGGGAGCAGTTTTGCTGTTCCTCCTCCTCTTTCGTTGAAGGAGGTCCACACCTAGGTGGGATCACGACACGGTCCGTAGTTTCTGTTACGTGACCACAATTGTTAATTCTCAGGGAGCATAATTCCGCGTTTCGTATGGCTGGGGCTTGCAGGCTGCCACGTGGAACCACATTACATTGCACTTGTATCGCTTCAAGAGTCCAAGATCACCAGACACTTTAATTCCGTGTTATATCATCATCGTAATAATAATAATATCGATATTGTGCTCCATTTTCCAGAAACGGAGTCGCGCTACACATTACAAAAAGCAAATTAAACAAAACTGAGCTCGTAGTTGTTTCTTGTAAAAGGCTTCACTGTAAATATTTACAGTGAGTCTCACTGCTTTTACGACATCTGGGCCAGCAGGGCTTTGCTTTGCTTCGGCACGGCCGCTGGTGATGGCCCCTGGGGCCCCCACAACACCACGGCCACCGTTGGTGATGGCCCTTGGGGCCCCCACAACATCACGACCACTGGTGGTGATGATGGCCCGTGGGGCCCCCACAACACCACGACCACCGGTGATGGCCCCTGGGGCCCCCACAACACCACGACCACCGGTGATGGCCCCTGGGGCCCCCACAACACCACGGCCACCACTGGTGGTGATGATGGCCCGTGGGGCCCCCACAACACCACGACCGCCACTGGTGATGGCCCCTGGGGCCCCCACAACACCACGGCCACCGGTGGTGATGGCCCCTGGGGCCCCCACAACACCACGACCACCGGTGGGTCCCAACGGCGGCACGGCCGCCCCCCCTCGCGTCACGTCCACAACGTGGTGCACTCCCCACCGTTTGTCATAATTCTCGCGGCCCCCGTCGTCGTGTGTATATTAACATTCTCTATATTAACAACAAAAAAACTCAACTCGTTTTTACATTTTCTTTTGCTCCAGTAACCTAAGCGTAGCGTATGTCGCATATGACTTGCATACATGTAACGCCGCCGAATCCCACGCACGCCGCTCGATGCACGCATCGCGAGCGTCAAGACGCATCGTGGCGCGACACGACGCAGGATCGCCCACCGCCCGCCGCCTCTGCTCTTCCGACTCCGGCCGCACGGCGATCGGAGCGACGTGCGAGCGGTGTGGGGGTCGCCGCCGTCGACCAAACCCCCCAGGACGCGTCGCCCGGTCACCACTCGGCCCCTTTATCGCATCTGCGCGGTCGCCCGCGACAATGTTCGGCGCGACACCGCCGCCGCCGCTACGGGATCTCGTGCCGTACACAGACGGCCGACTGCCCCCCCCCCCCGCGCTCCCAGGGGCCGCGTGTCAACCCCCGACTTCCCCGACACCACCCACGGGCCGCTCGGCAGCCGCGCGGGCACGGGCGCCTCAGGCTCTGAAGGGGATGGCGTTGAGGCGCGCTCGCTTCTGTGCCGTCGCCTGGCCCCTGGGGGGGAGCGGGGGGGGAGGGGCGCGCAGCCCCCCCCCGCCGCCTCCCGTGCCCCCCCCGCCGCCCCCCCCGTCCTCCCAGCCGCCCGAGCCGCTCCCTTTGCCCAGCAGCCGGCGGTAGCCCTCGGCCGCCTGCTTGCCGTCCTTCTTGGCCTGGCGCAGCACTCGCTTCAGCTTCTTCACCTGCGGCGAGGTGGGGGAGAGCGGTGGGGCGGGGGGGAAGAGACGGGGCGGTGAGCCTGCGTGGCCTTGCACGGGCCCTGGCTGAACCTCGCGCTCGATCTGTATACTACTTTGTTTTGTTTCGATTTAAAGCTTCTTTCGTGACTGCAGGGATTCATCTTCTTGGTTCTTTCGGTAAAGTCACGTAGAATGGAAATAATACAATAATAAAAATTTAAAATAAAACGTAATTAAATAATTCTCAAGACGTTTCGGCCACAACGCAAGCAGCCGTCCTCAGGTGAAAAACAGGTCTGTCGGGGAGACAGCGTCTGAATGACACTCTGTCTTCTCGACAGACCTGTTCTTCACCTGAGGACGGCTGCTTGCGTTGTGGCCGAAACGTCGTGAGAATTATTTTATTATGTTTTATTTTTATTATTTTATTATTTCCATTCTACGTGACTTTACCGAAAGAACCAAGAAGATACTTTGTTTTTCATCATAAACGTTTTTGGGTTAGATCGCGTTATTTATAAATGTGTCATAACCCTCCACCACCCGACACGGCCAAATAGTAAAAAACGTGCCACGTTTACAAAAGACAAATAGTTCACTGCTATAGCCCACCGGTGTGTTGCAGAGTGAATCCACAACATTTACATTTTACTGGTAGGAACCTCCTGGTTCCATCAGCCCACAGGGGATTATTCTGTCCGTCCAAAAATGAGAGGAGTGGGACTGGGTGGAGAGGGGGGGTGGGGAGGGGCTGGGGGGGAGGGGAGGGTGGGGAGGGGCTGGGTGGGGAGGGTGGGGAGGGGCTGGGTGGGGAGGGAGGGCTGGGTAGGAAGGGTGGGGCTAGGTGGGGGTGGGAGGGGTGGGGCTGGGTGGGGAGGGGCTGGTCACCCCGTGGTGCCCTTATAAAACTCAACGTTTAACCTACTCACGCCGGCTTGTGCCCGCCCTCACAGTCGGCCATATTTGCGGAATACACCACGCCGCCGTTGACCCTGGCCATTGACCGAGCAACCCAACGTTCCTACCCGCTCCCTCCGCAGGAATGTGTTTTGAGTACGACGTTTCGCTGGTAATTACATCCGGCATCATCGGGCAATTCGCCAGAATGGTGAAGCCCTCCACTTGCTCCCGGTCTTAAATAGAGCAGCAGCACGGTGACGTCATCATTTAACCCAAAAAAAAACTTTATTGTGAATAATATTGGTCGCGAAAGACGACGTGTTACTTTGTTTGTGTTTGTTTGTGTTTGTTTGTGTTTGTGTTTGTTTGTGTTTGTTTGTGTTTGTTTGTGTTTGTTTGTGTTTGTTTGTTTGTGTTTGTTTGTGTTTGTGTTTGTTTGTGTTTGTTTGTGTTTGTTTGTGTTTGTTTGTTTGTGTTTGTTTGTGTTTGTTTGAGGCTCAGCCGAGACGCGCAGTGGGCTGACGGTCGCTCCCTCCTCCCTCGGTGAGCCCCGGCCACACGGGGCAGTCGCGTCTGACAACGGCCCCCCACCCACTGCCCGTAGGGACCCCCCCCCCGGGACCCCCCCCACCCCCCCGCCTGCCTTACTCCGGCATGCAGGGGTAGAGCAGCCGTGCCGGCAGTCGGCACTCGGGAACGACGTCCACTTGCCTTTTGCTGCAGGTGCCGGTTCTTCTTCTCGAGCACGGAGAGCTGCTTCGTGAGCTTCCGCACGCGGTCCTCCTCTTCGAGCAGCGCCGACTGGATCGGGGCGCAAAGCAACTGCAACACAGTCACGTGGGGGGTGGGGGGGTGGTGGGGGTGGTGGTGGGGTGGAGGGGGTGGGGGTGGTGGGGGTGGTGGTGGGGGTGGGGGTGGTGGGGGTAGGTGGGGGTGGTGGGGGTGGTGGGGGTGGGAGTGGTGGGGGTGGTGGGGTGGAGGGGGGGTGGAGGGGGTGGAGGGGGTGGTGGTGGTGGTGGTGGGGGTGGTGGGGTGGAAGGGGTGGTGGTGGTGGGGGCAGTGGTGGTGGTGGGGGTGGTGGGATGGAGGGGGTGGTGGGGGTGGTGGGGGTGGGGGTGGTGGCGTTGGGGGGGCAGTGGTGGGGGATGGGGGTGGTGGGGGCACGCACATCGGGTGAATGGGGAAACTCCGTGCGATGGCACAGACTTCGAACTCCCTCCCGCCGTCTCTTTTCCCCAGCTCTAGGAAGCGTTGCTCAATTTCAAGACGCGTTGGTAACTCTGTGCCGCGCGTCTACGACGACAGCGCCGTTCGTTGCTGGCCGCTCGACGTTTTTTGGGCTTTTGCAGCTGTGTGGCTTTACCCCCCAGCCCATTCCACCCGCGCGAGACCAAAATAAGTCCATAAAGAATTCCGTGTCGGGGCGTGACGTCTCGCGCGAGCTGCTGCGCGTTTATTTTTAGGAGGAAATTAATTTCAACTCCATCACGGGCGCTGGCTGGCAAATCGCCCGCCTTGGCACCACGCGAGCCACGCACGGAAGCCTCCGTCCACTCGATCACGCGCCGGCAGGCCCCTGAACCCACGCTCCGGCCGCCTTTGTCTCCCCCAAGCGCCCGACATTCACGCACCGGGATGACCGATTCTCGGGGGGGCTGAATTGACCTGCCTGGTAGCCCGCGGGCAGGTAGCGATGCCTGCCGGGGGAATTGCGGCGAAACCTCCGAGCCAGTTGAGTCGATGGCGCCCGGCGATTTGAACGCCCGGCAGGCAGCAATGAATCTGCCGCACGGGGCGATCGCTATCGGCTTTGAATCCGGCGCCGCCCGCCCGCCCGCCTGTCTGCTATGAAACGCGGCTCCCGTTGGCGCAGGATTCGCGGGACGCGTGGGAGGGGGGGGGAGCGCATCGGGCGCCCATCGCCCCACGCATCGTGCCCGACTCCCCTGAAGCGCGCTGACTTTTTGTCAACAGCCAAAGAAATGCAACGGCTCTCCGCGGGGTGGACCTCGCCTCCAATCGGCGGTCTTGAGCAGGCCACGGAGAACTCCAAATTGCAACGGCATGAGGCCATCCACTCCGAGGGTCGTTGTCTACATGGGGTTTATGAAGCGAAAGGAGTGAGTGAGTGAGTGGGTCTGTGGGTCAGTGAGAGAGTGAGTGAGTGAGTAGGTGGGTGAGTGGGTGAGTGAGTAGGTGGGTGAGTGAGTGGATCAGTGGGAGAGTGAGTGAGTGAGTAGGTGGGTGAGTAGGTGGGTGAGTGAGTGAGTGAGTCAGTGGGAGAATGAGTGAGTAGGTGGGTGAGTGAGTGAGTGGGTGGGTGAGTGGGTGAGTGAGTAGGTGGGTGAGTGAGTGAGTGAGTGGGTCAGTGGGTCAGTGAGAGAGTGAGTGAGTGAGTAGGTGGGTGAGTAGGTGGTTGAGTGAGTGAGTAGGTGGGTGAGTGAGTGAGTGAGTGGGTCAGTGGGTCAGTGAGAGAGTGAGTGAGTGAGTAGGTGGGTGATTAGGTGGGTGAGTGAGTGAGTGAGTGGGTGGGTGAGTGGGTGAGTGAGTGAGTGAGTCAGTGGGTCAGTGGGAGAGTGATTGAGTGAGTAGGTGGGTGAGTAGGTGGGTGAGTGAGGGAGTTGGGGGGGTCTAACGGGGGCTGCTCTGTGCAGAGAGCGATCGGAGAGAGCCGTGGAAACGTGGACCAATGATAGCACGACTCCACGCTCATTGGGGCCGCGTTGATCATCTCCCTGCGAGATGCACCCAATGGGTGGATATGTGCTGAGACGTGAGGTGGTGGTGGTGGTGGTTGACGCGGCCTCCTCTCTGTTCGTTCCCCCACGAGGCAGCGCTCTGGTCGCTCGTAAATTCCGATGGCACCGTTGGAGTTGTCATCGGAGAGGAAACGTTCACCGGTTATTGCTTGTTTCTCAAAGATTCACGGCAAATGACATCCGCACGTGTTTCGCGCCACGAATGCGTCTCCTCCACTGCGGGATGGATGTAGCGAAGCCACGTCAGGCGTGGAAATCGGCAACATCCATCATCAAACTCACCGCTCAAGCAAGGCCGTTACGGCCAGCATTCGCCGTGAAATGCATCGAGCACGGATTGGGGATTTCAGGGACAGGTTGACAAACGATCTGTCACGCAGCCCAAACGGGGAGCTGCATTCGGGTTACTGAAACAAAAACAAAAATGAAGTCAGCCCAGAAGGTCACCGTTTGGTAATGTGGCCTCCAAAGACGGAGCATCAGATATGTTTTCCATCTGACGCCACCCGATATTGCGATCACGTCAAACGGAATTCTCCGAAATGTCACGCGTTACGTATCACGAGTCGGGTCGAGTTACAGCCTCTCGGCACCCAAACGAGCGAAGGGCAGCAATCATCGACATTCGACGTCCTGGGCCAGCGGTGGAAATTCCACATTCCCATGGCGAGTGCCCGTCTCTCCGCAGTACATCCGTCTGTTGACTTCCAGCGTTTCTGGTTTCTGGTTTTATCGAGCACGGAGGGATCACGGGCCCGGAGTCACCCTCTGGCCCGGATTCGAACTCGTCGCCATTCCGACTGAGGGTGGCGCGCCATCTCCAGCGCGTGGAGCGGTGAGGAGACGGCCGTGTGCTGCCGTGGGACGCGCCATGCCGACACCGCACGGCACGGCACCCACGCGCCGGCCGCCTTTCATGATGAAAGCACCGCCGCACCAGGTAGTCGTTTTAGGCTGAGTAGACCTAGAGGCCCCCCCACACCATTTACATTTAACGCCGTGCACAGGGTCGCCTGCCGAAACAGGCCGGGATTTGGCTCCGGTGTGCGGGTGGCGGAAATTTGATTCGCGCGGAGATCCGGAGTCGGTGTTGCCGGTGTTGAACTTCAGTTTGGCGAACTGCGCGGTTCTGGCAGTCGGCCTATGGTGGGATAAGGTGGCCACCCACGCTGAGCATCCTGGCCACGAAGTGAACCCAGGTCATCAAGGGTCCTGGTGACTTGGCCTTGCCGTAGACACGCGGGTAGAGTGCCAGGACGACTGATCAAACCTGACACAGCCTCGGCGCGATGAAAGCAACATTGAGATGAATTTGTCCCCAGCGCACCGAGGCTGCTCCTCAACGCAAGTCCCTCGAGCACAAGTGCCGGCAGTAGCCATCATATGGCTACGCTGCACCGGTGAGTGCCAAGAAGAGTGAAGCTGGCACGCGTTTGCCTTGCTGCTGCTATGTTACACACATGAACAATGCCACAATCTCGCCTCTTGGGCTGTGGCCATCGCCATACTGGACACAATGTACGCAGGAACGTTGATGTCACCGTGACATCAACAGCACGCTGCAATTGTGTTGTGTTTTGCTGATGAAGAGACCCTGTGTGCCCGCGCTGCAAACGTGTTTCTGGCTGTTGCCTTGGCTATTCAGCGAGAGAAAGGGTTTGGATTAGGATAAGATCTCCGTGTTTATTTGGCCAGCGTAGCGGTCGGCACGCTGCGCGCTGAACCCAACGACCCGACTCTCGCTCACAGCCAACATCAGCGACAAATCTGATCCCGGTTCTGGGCCTCATCTAGGTAGACTCAGCCTTAAACGAGCGCCTGGTGTGACGTATAAACATCGGCAGTGGCGCTGACCACACCACCCTCTCCCGTGTCGCATTGACATGCATCGGTGCTCGCTGGCAACACTTGCCCCAACTTAATACAGCAGTCGTGCTGAGACGGTTCCACCTGAAGACGGAAGCTTGTGTTGCCTCCGAAACGTCGTGATTTTTTATTTTTTTATTTTTTACCTACGTGACTTTATCGAAAAAACCTAAGCGTATACTTGCCCCAACAGTCTGCATGGCTGCAGGGGAGACCATTGGCTTCGGGAGGGCCTCTGGGTGGATGCGGCTTCTCACGCCAGAGCCCCCCGTGAGCTCTCTCTGCGTGCTGTGCCCGGCTGCCCCGCGTGCTGCCCCCGCGTGCTGCCCCCCCCCCCCCCACGCTGCACACAGCGGTCCTCTGAGCTCGGCGCCAGCCACTTCGCCGGTGTGGCACTGCCAGAGGACTCATACTCTTAGTTCTTTCGATAAAGTCACGTAGGTAAAAAATGCAATTAAAATTAATACATTTATGTTTAATTTAATATTTAAGAGCTTGCATCTTGAATCCCTGCCTCACTTGATGCAGCAAATCTGGCTGTGACGGTCCCACCTGATGACGGAGACTTGTGTTGCCTCCGAAACGTCGTGATTTTTATTATTTTATTTTTATTAATTTTAATTTCATTTTTTACCTACGTCACTTTACCGAAAGAACTAAGAGTATGAATCCTTGCAGTCACGAAAGCTTCAAATCTAGCACTGCCAGAGACCACGGCGCGTGGCCCGTGCGTGGTAAGGCAGGCGAGATCGCTTGGCTCGAGCCCTCGACCTGGCCGAGCGCACGACGGCACCCTCGCGTCTTGTGATGAAGTGGCTTTCTCTCGCGCTCGCACTCAGGTCCCAAAGACAAAGATGCCTGTATGGGTTTAACACACTATTGGGGCAAGGGCTGTTAGCGAGGACCATTGAATGCGGGCACATGACGCAAGCTATCCGTGGTAAAGTAATCCTGATTATATTTTTTAGGTCTTTCGGTGAAGTCACGTAGAATGGTTATTTCTTTGAACCCGTCTACGTGACTTTAACGAAAGACCCAAAGAGTATGAATTCCTGCAGTCACGAAAGCTTTAAGTCGAGATTTAAACTTGATTAATAAGGCATTTGTCGTGTGCACGAGTGGCCTCTCATTCCGCAGTGGGAACGGCAAATCTCGTTACGTCAATTCAATGTGGTGGCATTTTGAACGTAAAAAAACCCATCTCAGCTATAGGCGCTACTGCCAATGAACATCTGACTCTCACGGGAGCTCATCGCCTTTATTTATCCGGCAAATCCGTACGGAGTCCCGAGGCTCGTGCGTTGGGATGTTTGCCCATTCTCATCAATGAGCGTTTTGTCTGCGGGAGGAAACCTGAGCACACGAACAAAATCCACGCAAAGGAAGCAATAACGCGAGAAGATCCGTGCGAATGGATTCAACAATCTACCTGCTCTGATGACATCTCTTGGCTACCTTTTTTTCTTGTTCATGTTTTTGTTTTTTTTGTTTGTTGCGGTTGCACCCGATTCAAGAGCCGAATGGCTCACAGGGCTATACCTAATAAATGAACTTGAACCTTGGGCCAGAGGGTTTTAGAGTCTCACAAATCTTTGTGATGCACAAACCCTCGCCTCCAATGTGCTGGAGCACATTGCTGGCTGTTGAGAGCGAGTTTGAATGAGGATAAGAGGTGTGTTAGTTACGTTGTACCTCCACCCCAATATCTCCCACCAGGAGCAGCAAGCCCCCTACCACGTGGCCCACAGGCCAAGGGGCCTGGGCCCTGTACCCACTTGGGGTGGCAAACGGGATCAGTTTCCACCGTGGGCTACATCCCCAACACCGCTATTGTACATCAAGTAAGGCACCCTTCCCTAACGGCGTTCATCTCTTCTTGGTTATTTCGGTAAAGTCACGTAGAAGGGAAATAATAAAATAATAAAAATAAAACATCATAAAATAATTCTCCTGACGTTTTGGCCACAACGCAAGTAGACGTCCTCAGGTGAAGACCAGGTCTGTCGGGGAGACAGCGTCTGAATGAAACACCACCACGCTTGGAGCGTATGTTTAAGCTGTTTATCTCGCGAAAAGCTTCCGTCGCGACTTTACGATCGCACGCATTTGCGATCGGCACGGAGCGCTCGATTACCGAAGACAATATTTGCTCGCAATGGCCACCGTGGGCGGTTACCCGCGAGTAAGTATTTGTTGGTGGCATTGCCTCTGGAGGACGCGGCCCAAGGGCTGGCAGCCGTGCACGGGAGCTGCCGTCCGTCCCTGCTGCCGCCGCTGCTGCTGCCTACTCACCTCGTTGTCCTGCTGCATCTCCCACTCGGGCGAGTAGAGGTGGACCTGCGCGCCCTGCGAGCAGTTGGAGAACTGGAAGAGGCTGGAGAACATCCGGCGCGTGTCCTGCGTCTCGGGGAAGATGGCGTCCTGGAAGTTGACGCCGTGCGGCACGAGGTGGTAGTTCTCATCCATCCTGACGGGGAGCGCAAAGACAAAGGTCCCCCGTGGAGCCTTAACAGACTGTTGGTAGCAAGTGCTGTTAGCGAGTAGCACCTATGAAGGCCAGAACGGCACACGAGGGAGTGGGTGGCTAATACCACGCCCGGGGAGCACGGTGTGTGTACCTGAGCGTACCTGTCTGTGTATGCTCAGGTACACACACAGGTACACAAAGGTATGCACAGGTACACACACAGGTATACACACAGGTACACACATGTATGCACAGGTACACACACAGGTACGCACACAGGTACACACAGGTACGCACAGGTACACACACAGGTACACACACAGGTACACACACAGGCACACACCGGTACACACAGGTACGCACAGGTACACACATAGGTACACACACAGGTACGCTAAGGTACGCACAGGTACGCACACAGGTACGCACAGGTACACACACAGGTACACACAGGCACACACAGGTACACACACAGGTACACACAGTTACACACACAGGCACACACACAGGTACACACACAGGTACGCACAGGTACACACAGGTACACACACAGGTACACACTCAGGTACACACACAGATACGCACAGGTACACACACAGGTACACACATGTACACACACAGGTACGCACAGGTACACACACAGGTACACACAGGCACACACAGGTACACAGTTACACACACAGGCACACACAGGTACACACACAGGTACGCACAGGTACACACAGGTACACACACAGGTACACACTCAGGTACACACACAGATACGCACAGGTACACACACAGGTACACACATGTACACACACAGGTACGCACAGGTACACACACAGGTACACACAGGTACGCACACAGGTACACACAGGTACACACAGCTACACACACAGGTACGCACAGGTACACACAGGTACACACTCAGGTACACACAGGTACGAACAGGCACACACGCACAGGTACACACACAGGTACGCACACAGAGGTACGCACACGCGGATACCAATCTCCGTACATACCCAGGCTTGGTCTAACCTGGCTTCGGTCCCTCTGCGTGGGTCGTGCCGCGTGCGTTGTTTACCGCGATGTCCGACGTTTCGCTCTACGAGCTGGGTTCGTCTTCTACTTTCAGCGGCGCTATCAACTCTCCAGCCCGCTCACCCTCTCCCGCACCACGAGATGGGGCTTCTGTCTGCACCGAGCGAGCGTGGGCTCCCCCCACGTGTACGCTCAGAACTCGGCCCGTAACATCTTAATATGTAGAGGACCGCAGAGCTCGAGGAGAAGCGTGGCGCCGGCTGACCGCATGGGTGCTGCTGCATTCTCGCTCGTCTTCGGCTCCTCCTCGCGCCTCTCAGGGCGAGCGAACGGATTGCGGAGGCGTCGCTGCGTTACGAGTTGAACTCGTCGTTCAAGCATCGTTCAATCGTCAGCACTGGACATTCGTCAAATCAAGTGGAAGCCTCCGATGTAAGTCAATGCCGGCTACACCCACCCACCCGCCCGCCTACCCACACGTGAACCTCCAATCACTCACTCGCTCGCACACGAGGTCGCGCCAGCCTCAATAGGTGTTAAATCTCGATTTGAAGCTGTCGTGACCGCAGGAATCCATACTCTTTGTTTCTTTCGGTAAAGTCACGTGGGTAGGAAATCAAATTAAATCAAGAGGTGTTCGCTAGCAGCGCTCTCGTCTCAACGAGGGGGGCGATCCTGTGTCTCCGCACGTCCGCGACCCTGGCGCGCGCCAACGAAGCGAGCCTCCATCCGCCCAGTCTCCACCTTTTTATTTTGGCGTTCGAAGGGAAATTCTAAGGATTCGGGTGGGTGAAGGCGGGGGGGGGGGGGTGGGAATCCCCGGGGCTCACGCGAGCGGCAAACAGGAAGGGCACGGCACGCGTCGGGCGCGTTCAGGATCGCGACAAGCCGGGAGTTGTCCTCGCGCGCGCGCTGGGCAATGGGGCTCGCGCCAATGGACGGCGCTTGACGACAGCCCCGGGGGGTGTTGACACACGCGCACGCAACACGCACAAAGATCCCCCGCGCGGCCTTAGCGGACTGCTGGGGAGAATGGCGAGCGCCGAAGCGAAGGCTGGCACGGCACGCCAGGGCGTTGGGTGGCCAAGCACCACGCCCGGCCGCCTTTGTCTCCCTAAGTGGCGATGCTTACACACCGCATCGGGTACGGATTTGAGGTTGAGTCAAGCAATTTTTTCACTATTTTTTTTATTTGACCAGGTAAAGCCCCACTGAGCCGTGTAGCTGTTTTTCAGAAGCGACCTGGCCGCCACAAATGATAGATCAACAAAGTTGCTTATCGTGTGGACATGTACAGCAGCCAAACGCTCTAAACGCACGCTTCTACATGTGCAGGGAAAAACTAGGACCGGGAGAAAAACAATCGACGCGACGTCGGGGAGATGGAACATGCAAACCTCAAACATTCAGGCATCAGCGTCGGGGATTGCACCTTGGGGAAGCCCAGGACCGGTTCAGATAATCGTCACCGGTATTGGCCGTGAGCGGGAATCGAACCCGGGTGGCCGGGTTCGTAGCGCAGCGCGCTAACCGCTGCACCACCGCTCCCCACAAGCACAAACACGCGCACACACAACACGAAGGAGGGGCGGCACGTGCTGCGGTGCGGCGTCACGTGATGCGGGGTGACGTCACGTGATGCGGGGCGTCACGTGATGCGAGCGAGCACCGATGACGAGGCCAGCCAGCTCGGCACACGAGGGAGAGAGAGGGTGGCGATCAGCACGCACGCCTTGACCGCCTTTGTCTCCCCGGTGCTGATGTTGGAACACGCCGGACCAGATGCGCGTTGTTTATTTCACGCCGAGCGGACCTAGAGGATGTCTCGTAGAGCGTGAGCGGGCTGCAGTTTGCCAGGGTTGGCCACCCGCTGGACTGGACGTGGTCACCCACAACAAGCCCTGGCCACTTAGCCCCCCCCCCCCCCGTTCCTAGCAAGCATCCTGACTCGCGAAGGCGGGAAACCCCCCAACAAGCCACGCCCAGAGTGATCCAGCTGATTAAGCTCCTCCTACAGCACCCGGCCTGCCCGCGTGGTCACCCCTCCAAGCAACGGCCAGGGCCCAAAGCGCCGAGCGGCCGCCAACAGCGGGGGGACATGGATGGAAGTGCCACTGATGACAATGACGACGGTGATGGTGATAAGGGGCCGTCCATAAATGACGTCACGCGATTTTGGACGATTTTTGACCCCCCCCCTCGTCACACGGCGTCACAAAAAGTCAGACCCCCCCCTCAAATATGACGTCACAAAGCTCTGCCCCCCCCCCCAAATAAAACATGCTTCAAATCGCTTTAAACTATTGTCATTGTAGTGCGTATTTAATGTGGCGCTGCACTCTGATGTTGTAGGAGAAAACATTTATTAAAAATTCTATTTAATTAATTAGAACGTGTTGTCTATATTTATTTAAAGTTGCGCATTATGATGTGACGTCACATTTCTCAACCCCCCCCTTCCCTCGTCACACATCGTCACTAATGTCTGACCCCCCCCAAACCCCCCCCCCCCAGGTGCGTGACGTCATTTATGGCCTGCCCCAAATGACGCGACGCTGATGATGACGACCATGGCGATGCCGATGATGATGCCGATGACGATGTCGATGACACGAGGACGAGGAGTCCGAGGCGCACCTGAGGAACAAGAAGTAGGTGTTGTTCTCCATGACGGTGTAGGAGTGGCACGAGAAGTAGCCGAGGCCCGTGACATTGAAGCGTGCTCCGGCGGGCATCTCGAGCATGGAGCCCCAGGCCTGGTCGCACAGCAGCTCCACCTCGGCGGCGTACAGCAGCTCCGAGGAGTCGCCGCCGCCCCCCTGCCACGGCAGGAGGTTGTGCACCCCGTACGAGTCCTGGTGCAGCGCCAGCACCTTGGCCATCACGATGATCTCGGCCAACTCGGCGCGACACGCTTCGCTCTGCGGCCGCCAGTCCTGGGGCAGCTGGCAGCCCCAGCAGCAGGAGCAGCAGCAGGTCCACGCGAGCAGCAGCAGCAGCGGCGGCAGCGGCGGCGGTCGCCGTTGCCGCGGGGTCCGCTCGTCCCGGGGGGTCGGCGACGCGGACGGGGCCCGGGCCATGTCGGCGAGATGGAGCGGCGAGTCGAGGCCGAGTGCCGCCGCCTCCCTCCCCGTGGGCCGCGAGCTCCCTGGGCGAGCTCGCGAGCGGGGACCTCGGCTTGGTGACAGAAGCTGTCTGCGGGGAGAGAAGAGCGCGCGGGCGTCCTTCCAGACAGCACCCAGACAGCTGCAGCAGCGGCAGCAGCGGATTGTGCAACAAACAGCGGCAGCGGACGTGTGGGTCTCGTCTCAGGCTGTCTCGTCTTAGCCACGCTGTGTTGCTCCACCACCCCTCGGCCCAAGACAACACACTCACTCACACACCCACTCACTCACGCACCCACTCACTCATGCACCCACACACTCACTCACTCACTCACACACCCACTCACCCACCCACCCACCCACTCACGCACGCACGCACGCACGCACCCACCCACTCACTCACGTACCCACACACTCACACACACACCCACTCACACACCCACTCACTCACGCACCCACCCACGCACACACCCACTCATACACTCCCTCATCCACCCACCGGACATAGACCTCGGATTAGCACGGTTGGCTACGTACGGTGCGAAAGAAGTTCAATATCCACACACACACATTGCAGGTCACAATACTTCTGATTCATAATTCGTTTACCTTGGGTCAGATCGTGTCGGTGAAATGTCATTGTGTGAAATGTCATTGTGTGAAATGCCATTGTTTTCACGACACCCCTCCACCACCCGACCGAGGCAAGCGAGTCACGTGGGCAAACACGTCGATTGATTTGGTTGATGAGCAAAGCGAGTGGTGATGTCGAGACGCCGGCTACGTTGTTGACCATTTCCATCCGACACGAGTCCTCAAGATCACACCCAACGTCACGACGCGGCCTACGCCCTCAAGGAAACGAATCACGAATCGTGACCCCTTGGGCGTGAACGACTTCGCGTGGCCTGACCCCAGACGCATCTCTCTGTCTCTGTCTGTCTGCGCCTTCTCTCGCACCGATCCACCGTGGGATTCTCCCCCCGGTCATCCCTTCCCGCCCAAGCTCTCATCGCTTTTTTCCATTCGAGAAACGCTCCGTACGCTCTTATCGATCACAACGTTGATTATCGTGCTGTTCGTGGCTGGCCGTTCCAAGTTGTGGACCCTTTGCTCTGCAACTTTGTTTACAACAATAGCGCTGCTGCTGCTGCTGCACAACGATCCCCCGTGGGGCCTTCAGGGGGGGCACGATACACGAGGCGTGGCCAGCACCACGTCCTACCGCGATGTTTACTCACCGCACCAGGTACTCATTTGAGGCCGAGTCGACCTAGGCGAGGCCCAGGAACGATTTCAAATACCCCCCACCGCTATTGCTCGTGGAGCGGGAATCGACGAACTCGGGTCACCGGGGTGTGCGGCGCAGTGCGCTAACCACTGCGCCACCGCTCCTCGGTGCTATCGCCGCACACATCAAGCGGGATGAGGCGTCTGGAGCTCCGTTCACTCCGAGCTGCTGGCCGACGCCGCGTGGGTGGAGTTCTCGTCGCGAGAGGAACGCGCCGCGTCTCTCTGGCGGCCTGGTGCGCCCCCGTGCACGCGCTGGGTGGACGCTCAAAGGTGAAGGAGCTGCCCCCCGGGGCTTTGCTCGCCCTCGATGATGCTCTCGAGGGGACTCTGCAGTGAGCCCCTCTCGAGTTTCACTCGAACCCCGTTGCGCATCGCCCCGATGCCTCGACTCGACGACCCCACGCCGTGCGCCACGCGCAGGACACGCGAGCCACCCCCGTGACCCCCGTGACCCCTGTGATTCCCGTGACCCCCGTGACCCCTGTGATTCCCGTGACCCCCGTGACCCCACCGGGCAGCAGGAGGACAGGCGTCGTGCCGCCCCTTGTCGGCGGCCACTATTTTGGAAGCACCGTCTCGGGCGATGCGCTCCTCCAGGACGCGGCGACTTTGACCAAATCGATTTTTTGAGTCGCGCAGACAGGGACACGGGGGGGGGTGGGACGACGACTATTCCGCAAGCCCCGAACGAAGCCCCTGCGAGGAGTCGAGCCACTCACGGGGACGCCCGCGGCATTCCGCGTCCGCCCTCCCGAGCAGCCGTCGGCACGCACTCGTGGCTAGAGGCGCAGCCCTGCAAGTTCTCGTTCTCGCCGCTGTTGGCGAAGCGAGGGCCTCCATTGCGAGAGGCGGGGGGGGGGGGGCTCTAGAGGAGAACCCCCCTCCCCTTCCGTAGATGGTATTGGGCACTGCCCTGCCGCGCTTCAAAGTGGTGGCAGTTACCCACAGTTTACCCCACAACCACCCACCACCACCCACAACCACACGCGACAATCTGCCGACAGCCGCGACTGCTGCCCGATGCTGCTGAGTGGACAGCGGAGGCGGCGTGGAGGAACTTTGCCGCGCCGTGACTCGAACCTGCGCCCTTCTGGGATGCGAAGTCCGCTGCTCGCTGCTCGCTGCTCGCCCCCCCCCCCCCCCCGAACGCCGTCCCCACTCTGTCGGTGATTTACGACTCGCGGAGCTAAAGAGCAGCAGCAGCAGCGGCAGCAGGAGGAGGGGCAGGAGCGTCGCGGAGTCCTTACCGAGTGATTAGGCGGCCTCCAGCCAGCGCATTGCTCCGCAACCAACAGCGTCGGCGGCGATTTGATTGAAGACAGCAGCGACACGGAGGGCGAGTTCACTCGGGAGGAGGCCACCGGCCCCGACCCATCGCCTGGTCACGAGCTCGAGGGACTTGCGGTAGGAGTCGTCGATAGACGTAGACGACGCTGCGGCACCCAGGGCGCGTAAAGTCGACGCTGCCCCCCTCCTCCTCCTTCCTTCCTCCACGCGGGGAGACCACGCGAATCTCCAGTCCTCGTCTCGCAGCCAGCAACCTCTTCACAGATTCACTCCTCCACGCCGCGCCTCTCCTTGCCAGCAGCAGCAGCAGCGGCGGCGGTGGTGGTGATCGTGGCACAGTGGGCCATGCCTGCCTGTCCCCAGCTCCTCTCACGGAGTTCCTCTCATCCCGTCTGTCGAGGAGCGAGGAAGACAGCTGAGAGCGAGGGGAGTGTTGCGAGCAGGAGGAGAGAGAGAGCGGTGGCTGTGTGTGTGAGAGAGAGGGGGCGCGCGTCGCTTTTATCAGCCCCGAGGTGCGCCTGCTACCACTGCGCCGTCTGCAGGAGGAAATGCACCACACGTGCTCTCAAGTCCACCACAAGTGGTGGTGGCACTCTCCCTGAGCGAGTGCGCGAGTGTGAGCACGGCACGGCTCCGCTGGTGACCCACGCTCCAAGGGTCGTGAGTCGGGTTCCGTGTGCCGCGTCAGCTGCGCGCTCGATCTGCCGCTGGGGCCGGAGAGGCTTAAGCCCGCGGGGACAAAATCGACCGGCGACGTCACTCCCCGGTGGCCACGCGGGGCGAGGCGGCCCGCCAGTGAAGTGCAACATTGAACGGACCAGCTGCTGCTGCGTTAGTAGTGGCATTACACACTCTGCAATAATAATAACACTGTGGCCTTCAAAGGAATCAAAATATATCAAAAGCGACGTTTCGTGCACGAGCCCTTAATGGCACGTGATGAAGGAGGGCCGTTGCCCGCATGGAATGTGCTGATGGATTCTGTTAATTGGCTACTCGAGTGGATTCATAACGTACAGGCAGACCTCGCTTAGCGCTCAAGATGCGTTCCCTGGGGCAGTGAGCGCGAATCGAATCGGCGTTCTACGGGGTCGCGCTAAGCGAGGCTCTGCCCGCGCTCTGTATCTCTGGGACCCGTCGCATGGCTCGCATCCTCCCTCCACTTCACGGCTCGTCATCTGTTGACGCTGCTGATGAGACACTGGCCGTCGAAACCCGATGCAGAGTTTTGCCCGTAATTGAACCAATGCTGTTGTAAATATGCACTCCCAGAATGGCGTATGGCTGATGGGACGCGTTAAAATAGATTTTTTTTTAGAGGGGGAGATATGTGGAAGAGGCGAGCTGCTTACTGATGGATCTTGTTACACGCGGAATGTTTTATTGAGTACACAGTGGACGTGCTCAGATGGGAATTCCAAATTGTGCACGCTGTGCGAAGACGGACGCTGTGGAAACAAAGATGGAAAGGGGTCGTTCTGGCCGCAGCCCCTCGGTGCCTTGTGCTGCCCTAAATAGGCGCTCGCTAACAGCACGTGCCCTGCGGGTGTGCATGGCTCTACGCAGACCGCTTGTCGTTGTGTATACCTCAGTGCCGGATTACCCTAGTAGCACAAGTAGCTACAACACGTGTAGTAGCTACACGTGTAGTAGCTACACAAGTAGCTACACATGTAGTAGCTACAAATGCAGCAGCTACACATGCAGCAGCTACACATGCAGCAGCTACACATGTAGCTACTACATAAACAAGTAGTACATGTAGTAGCTACTACATGCGTAGTAGCTACTACATGCGTAGTAGCTACTACATGTGTAGCAGCTACGGGCCCCGCACTTTCAAGGGCCCCGCGCTAAATGCTTTCAAGCTATCAATTCCGGTTCAGTGATTCTGCACTTGCGCTATTACTATAGTACTATACCGCCTTCAACTTTTATGAACGACTGGGTTTTTAAGGTTAGCGATTTGTCGTATTATCGGGCTGTATAGCAAATGAAAAAATACAATCACTTTACTATGCAAGTAAAAAAAATTGTGTTTTAATATTTAAGTGTTTACTTATTTATTTAGGGCCCCTTCATAACATATGCTACAGGCCCCGCGCCAGCTTAACCCGGCACTGGTATACCTGTGTGTGTGTGTGTACATGTTCGCATGCGTTCCTAATTTACCCCCGACTCGCACCCTCCTTTGTTGGCGGTCTCCAGACAGCGGACTGACAGATCAGTCTGTCGGGGGTCTCCGGGGAGGAGGCGAGGCAGACCGCGACCCCCCAATGGGGTCTCCAGACATCGGACTGACAGACCGGTTTGTCGGGGGTCTCCGGCGAGGAGACGAGGCAGACCGGGACCCCCCAATGGGGTCTCCAGACTGCGGACTGACAGATCAGTCTGTCGGGGGTCTCCGGCGAGGAGGCGAGGCAGACCGGGACCCCCCAATGGGGTCTCCAGACTGCGGACTGACAGATCAGTCTGTCGGGGGTCTCCGGCGAGGAGACGAGGCAGACCGGGACCCCCCAATGGGGTCTCCAGGCAGCGGACTTGGAGTGCGCGAAGCCTCGGGACGTCCCACGTCTCCGCGGCCGGTGCGCGTGCTGCTGTTGCCAACGAAGGGGGCTCAACGCTGGCAAAGCGGCACGGGATCACTGCGTGCTGACGGAGCAGCCGAGTCTGCGTTGAGTGTCTGGGATCTGCAGGGCGCAGCAGCAACAGCGGCGGCAGCGGCGGGCGAGGAGGCGAGCCGGGGCCGTCTGCGAGAGTGTCGATGAAACGTCAGAACCGCGTGTCAACAAAACTCTCGCTCGAGGTGTCATCGGCGGCCAAGGTGCGGTCGCTGTAACTGAACGCCGCGGGGCTGCGCCCAAGTCAGTGGGCGAGGGCGGCCCGCCCGTGAGTCTCACGCACCCCACCCACGACCACAATTGCCGAGTCCCTGCCGGGGACGTGGTGCCGCCACCGACAATCCGTGCCGCCCTCGCGTCTTGGAGGTCGCGGGCCCCACACCGCTGGCTGCTGCGGTCGATGCATTTCTGAGACGTTCTCCCTCTCTCTCTCGCTCTCTCTCTCGCTCTTTTCTTTACGATTAGTGGAAACAAAAAGATGCTCGGTGTAGTCGGCACTTTGCTTCGTTCATGAATTCGTAATTTTTTGTTTTATAATAATAACTTTGCTTTATGTAAACCCCCACCTCTCGCTCACTATCTCGCTCGCTCTCTCTCGCTCACTCTCTCGTTCTGCACGCAGCCCTTCTCGCAGTCCGACGCCCTCCGACGGGTAGCTCATATCAGCATGCAGAGCTCCCCGTCATCTGCCACCGAGCACACGGCCTCCTCCATCGCCCACTGCTCCTTGAAGGCCGGCACGGCGTGGGTCAGCCGCGCATGGCGGAAGCTCTCCCTCTCTCCCTCTCTCGCTCTCTGGCTCTGCATTTAGCGCCACAGCGCGTGCATTTATAGCGTTTGTTTATGTTTTGCTGGTGACTTTGTGTATTTCGTATCGGAATCGCCTCCTGTGCTGTTGCTGCTGGCGGCAATACAAGTTGTTTAAAAGTCAAGAGTCTCTCTCTAACGCCCTCACCTGCACGGCATCGGCGTGCACCTGAAAGTGGAAATGTAAACACGAGGCGCGTTGGTGCGACTGTGGTCGTGCAAGCCAAACTGTGGGCCATATCGGCAGTCCGCAGAGACCCACAGAGACACGTGGAGATAGGGAGAGACTCGTAGAGATACAACGTGACCCACAGAGGTTCGTTAAAGCAAGCCACTGCGCGATTGTAGCCATGCCACCCAAGCTCCGCACCATTCCAAGTGACCCACTACGGGAGTTTGCGCTCCTGCAACGCAGGAGGAGGAACGGCGACACGACACGGACTCTCTCTCTCTCAGCTAAGCCCTCTCGTCATGGCCAGCAGCTGCAGCAGCAGACCTCCACTTTGCCATTCAGCTCGTGGACATCTTGCAGCCACGTGTGAGAAGAAAACAATCTGAAAGTGTTTTTTAAATAAACGGAGCATAAATTTTGTTCGCTATTCCGGGGACACCGCACCGGGGAGTGACACTTCACCTGCCTGGCGAGTTCATGATTTGTGACGATTGCAGGGAAACGATGAAACTGAAGATTCTTTATTTCGCTTTTACACCTCATCCGCACCGTTTATTATTTGTAACGCCCCATTTGTATTAATAGTTTTATTCCATTAGCCCGAATGCATTTCGAGCTTATTATTCAGCATGCGTTTTGCATGAATGTAAAGACGTTGGTTCTTGCGCGTCTGCGCCGTGAGCCCCTTGCGAAGCGACGGTGGTGAAGCGGGTTGTTTGTTGCGTGTCTCAAAGAAAACAGATCATTGTTACTCGGAGTTCCATCTCCCTTCAACAGACAAGCGGCAAGGCCGTCAGGAGAGCGAGCCTCCCGTCTCTTACGCACATTTCCAACAATCCACAGCGACTCCGGCTGCGACTCTGCGCGAGTCTCCCAAGCGCCAATCAACGTGCACGCTTGAGATTTGTAGAGACAGAGAGACAAACAGGGATGTTGAGATTTGTAGAAACAGACAGACAGACAGGGGTATTGAGATTTGTAGAGACAGACAGACAGGGGTATTGAGATTTGTAGAGACAGACAGACAGACAGGGGTATTGAGATTTGTAGAGACAGACAGACAGACAGGGACATTGAGATTTGTAGAGACAGACAGACAGACAGGGACATTGAGATTTGTAGAGACAGACAGACAGACAGGGACATTGAGATTTGTAGAGACAGACAGACAGACAGGGGTATTGAGATTTGTAGAGACAGACAGACAGGGGTATTGAGATTTGTAGAGACAGACAGACAGGGGTATTGAGAATTGTAGAAACAGAGAGACAGACAGGGGTATTGAGATTTGTAGAGACAGACAGACAGACAGGGGTATTGAGATTTGTAGAAACAGAGAGACAGACAGGGGTATTGAGAATTGTAGAAACAGAGAGACAGACAGGGGTATTGAGATTTGTAGAGACAGACAGACAGGGGTATTGAGATTTGTAGAGACAGAGAGACAGATAGGGACATTGAGATTTGTAGAGACAGACAGACAGGGGTATTGAGATTTGTAGAGACAGACAGACAGAGATATTGAGATTTGTAGAAACAGAGAGACAGACAGGGACATTGAGATTTGTAGAGACAGACAGACAGATAGAAACATTGAGATTTGTGGAGACAGACAGACAGACAGACAGGGGTATTGAGATTTGTAGAGACAGACAGACAGACAGGGGTATTGAGATTTGTAGAGACAGACAGACAGATAGGGACATTGAGATTTGTAGAGACAGACAGACAGACAGGGACATTGAGATTTGCAGAGACAGACAGACAGACAGGGACATTGAGATTTGTAGAGACAGACAGACAGACAGGGACATTGAGATTTGTAGAGACAGACAGACAGACAGGGTTATTGAGATTTGTAGAGACAGACAGACAGACAAGGACATTGAGATTTGTAGAGACAGACAGACAGACAGGGTTATTGAGATTTGTAGAGACAGACAGACAGACAGGGACATTGAGATTTGCAGAGACAGACAGGGATATTGAGGGGGAGGGGGTCTGGAAGGGGAGGGGGGCTGGAGGGGGAGGGGGGCTGGAGGAGGTGGGGGGGCTGGAGGGGGGTTGGAGACGGGGCTGGAGGGGGTGGGAGGGGGTGGGGGGGTGGGGGTGGCTGGAGGGGGCGGGGGGAGCTAGAGGGGGGCTGGAGGGGGGTTGGAGACGGGGCTGGAGGGGGTGGGAGGGGGTGGGGGGGGTGGGGGTGGCTGGAGGGAGAGGGGGGCTAGAGGGGGGGCTGGAGGAGGTGGGGGGGACTGGAGGGGGGCTGGAGACGGGGCTGGAGGGGGTGGGAGGGGGTGGGGGGGTGGGGGTGGCTGGAGGGGGCGGGGGGAGCTAGAGGGGGGCTGGAGGGGGGTTGGAGACGGGGCTGGAGGGGGTGGGAGGGGGTGGGGGGGTGGGGTGGCTGGAGGGAGAGGGGGGCTAGAGGGGGGGCTGGAGGAGGTGGGGGGGACTGGAGGGGGGCTGGAGACGGGGCTGGAGGGGGTGGGAGGGGGTGGGGGGGGGGTGGGGGTGGCTGGAGGGGGCGGGGGGAGCTAGAGGGGGGCTGGAGGGGGCTAGAGGGTGTGGGGGGGGGCTGGAAGGGGCAGGGGGGGCTGGAAGGGGCTGGGGGGGGGGCTGGAGGGGGGCTGGAGGGGGCTGGAGGGGGAGGGGGGCTGGAAGGGGCTGGGGGGGGGCTGGAGGGGGAGGGGACATCCTCCGTGGGATGCGGCCGTGTCCCAGCAACGGAATGTCGGCAAGTCGCGGGGCGTGCTTTTACGGCCACATGCCTCTCTTAATTGCACGCATCGCACCAGATATTAATTTGAGGTTGAGTCGACCTAGGGGAGGCGCAGGACTGGTTCAGATGATCGTCATTGATGTTGGCCGCGAGCATAAACCGAATTCGGGGTGGCCGGATTCGTAGCGCAGTGCGCTACAAACAAGACGCATGTTTTACCCAACATTATTATACACTAGAATAGTGGCCTCACCATTGTGGCAAATCGCCCGATGATGCTGGATGATGCAATTGCCAGCGAAACGTCGTACTACTCAAATTGTAAATGTTGTGGATTTACTCTCCAACACACCGGCGTGCTGAAGTAGTTAATGAATTGGCGCGTTTTGTTTTACGTGAAAAACCTTACTGGGTGTGTCGGGTGGTGGAGGGTTACGACACATTTATACTTACGCGATCGAACCAAAAACCTCGATTACGAATTATTATGATTATTATATCTCGGCTTCTCCGTCTTACTCGGACTGTCTCTCTCGTTCCCGTTCCACTGCTAGCCTATCCGTCCTCTCGTCACCTCTTCTTCTCCTGCTCCACCGCAACCCTATTCTACCTTCCGTATCTTCCTCGTCTACGTCTCTACTGCTACCCTACACTTCTTCTTCGACTCCGCTGCTACCCTACACGTGCAGTAGCTACACATGCAGTTACACAAGTAGCTACACGTGTAGTAGCTACACGTGTAGCTACTATATATGTAGCTGCTACACATGTAGTAGCTACATATATAGTAGCTACACATGTAGTAGTTACACATATAGTAGCTATGGGCCCCGCGCTAAATGCTTTCAAGCTATCAATTCCGGTTCAGTGATTCTGCACTTGCTCTATTACTATAGTACTATACCGCCTTCAACTTTTACGAACGACTGGGTGTTTGAGGTTAGCGATTTGTCGTATCTTCTGGCTGTATATCAAATAAAAAATACAATTACTTTACTATGCAAGTTAATATTTTGCGTTTTAATATTTACGTGTTTTTCCATATTCAGGGCCTCTTTCTGACAACATATGCTCCAGGCCCCGCACCAGCTGAACCCGCCACTGGCTGCAGCTGGAGCTCAGCTGCGCCCCACGCTTGTGCCACAGTAACAACAGCTCCTCCTCCGCTGCTGTTTTAATGAATGTCCCACCGTGGTGGTGTTTGTGCCCGCCAGGGAGGGAAGCCTGCCCGAGCTACGTGCGTTGTTGAAGAGGAGGTCGTGACCAGAACGACAGAATCAACAGAGCCTCCCCCCACCCCACCCCCATCACGCCGCCCGTGTTGTCTCTGGCGCGGCGAGGGAGTTGGGGGGCAGGGGGCCGCTGATGGCTTCGCCTCTCTCTCTCGCGGCCTCTCTCCTTTTCATTTACGATCAGAGGAAACAAGAAGATGCTCGGTGTAGTCGGCACTTTGCTTCGTTCATCATTTCTGGTTTTTTTTGTTTTTTTCAATACTTTGCTTTATTCTAGATTTGAAGCTTTCGTGACTGCAAGGATTCATATTCTTATGTTTTTTCGGTAAAGTCACGTAAGTAAATTTTTAAAATAAAAATAAAATGAAAATCACGACGGTTCCACCTGAAGACGGAAGCTTGTGTTGCCTCCGAAACGTCGTGATTTTTATTTTATTTTACTTTTATTAATTTTATTTTTTTACCTACGTGACTTTACCGAAAAAACCTAAGAATACTTTGCTTTATGCCCCCCCCCCCTGTTTAAATGAAATATTTCACGCTTTGCTCTCCTCCTCCTTCTCTTGACCTCCTCCTCTCACGGCCAAAGCTGCGAGTCGGCGCAACGCTATTTATCGACGACAAATCCCGCAGCGAGACAATGTCTCGAGATGGGTCATCTTGAGAGGAGAGAGCGCGTGAAGGGGAACTGTGAGCTGCGTGTGGAGCGGTGGGAGAAGCGCCGTGGTCCACACGCCGCGGGCACCTCGATCCGAGCTGCCGGGGTTCGACTCCAAGTCGTGCACAACGCCATGGCCGAGTGGCGGTCACACCCGCGTTGAGCCCAACGCATCCCACGCACCCCACACACCCCACACCCCCCACACACACCACACACACACCCCCACACACCCCACACACACACCCCGCACACACACACCCCACACACACACCCCACACACCCCACACACACCCCCCACACACCCCACACACACACCCCACACACACCCCACACACACACACCCCACACACACCCCACACACCCCACACACCCACACACCCCACACACA